AATGTACTAATCCAAAATATTACCAAATCTTCTCTTTTGGCCTGTGACACCACTATTCAAGCTTTGCAGCTTCTGGTGTCTTCTGCACATTTGACTGTGGCATAGCATCATCACACCGCTGAGGTCCTTGCAGGGTTCTCCTCTAGCTGCAAGCTACATAAAGGCTTTCTACCCATCAAACCTCCATGTACTACATATGATGGGTCAACACTGAGCCTGCTTGGCAGTTTTGCTGCGCTGCCTGCACTGTTTGGATATTCACAGGATGTCCTATACTGCTGCATTTGAATTGTTCATACAAGTCAATATGAATGTAAAACACAAGTCAGAAGGAAACCGGAAGTAGGTCAAAAGCAAGTTAGAAACAACTTAAACTAAAAGGCATTTTCCTTCAATGCATGCTGTGTTTGACTTCGGAGTGTGATGTTTAAGTACACAGTCCTGATAGATTTCAGGAAAGTTATGTCAGCAGACAAATAACACTACAATAGTGTTTGAGCAGTTGATGCAATCATATATTTTCAAAGATTATTTAATCCAAGTAAATAAAAGGTATTTACTGTAAGCACCTAGGGCAGGGTATTAAAGTTAAAGTGGATCTTAAAATGGATGACATTTAGTTTGCAAAAGCACCGTGTATGATAAATAACTGCTGTGTTTCTTTTTCTATCCAATACAATTTACCTTTTTTTTCATATCAGTGCTGCTGATCTCCTCTAGCTTTTTTCAGCTGGCAACTAATAATATGTAGAGTCATATTTACTTAAGGTTGAAGCATTATTTTGATCCAACTACCTTTAACTACCTTTGGGGATCAGAAAGCATTGTAGTGCAGCCAAATTAGCAAATGTGGCATGGAGAGGTTTGTTTTGCCTTTCTCCTAAACAAAGCTGTAGGTGGTTGAACCTAATGGACACCAGTCTTCTCAACTGTTGTCTTATTAACTACGAAACATAACAGGAGATACATATTAATTGGGCAAACTGAAGTTTGTGCTTGCCCACAGTTCTACTTTAATTTGTTACACATGATCAGTCAGGATTTAGTAATTGTACTAACTTTGGGCACAAAAGCAGGCATTGCCATTGTAGTAGACATGTGCGATTCGTTTCGTTCCGAATCGAAATTCGGACGAATTTTCGGAAATTCGGACATTCGGATGTATCCGAATTCCGAATTACAGACATAACGAATGCAAACGAATCCGAATTTCCATTTCCGAAATTCGGTAGCGTTAGTACGAACGTTCGTTTCGTTTTCTGTTCTTATTCGTTTCTTATTCGTTTCGTTCGTTGGAGCAAAGTGACATTAGAGAAGGAGAAAAATATTTTTTCCCCCTCAAATGTCACTTTTGCTGCAAACGAACGAACGAAACGAATAAGAACAGAAAACGAAACGAACGTTCGTACTAACGCTACCGAATTTCGTCCGAATCCGAATTGACTTTCACACCCGAATCCTGAAAAACGAAATAACACAAATCCGAATTTAAAACGAAACGAAACTAAACAAATTTTTTGGCAGTGCACATGTCTACATTGCAGCAAGCCCTTACCTCACTGTCCTAGGTGCTGAAACACCAGCACTATAGTAAGTACATCACTGGTCCTCCTCTAAGTATCTTTTTCACAAAGCCACTTCCAGTTATGTAAAAGTGAATGGTCAAAGTACCTCTTTGATTCTTGTATCCACCGGGGTAAACAGACATTAAATGCATCGTTTGGACCATGTCACACTTGCCACTTTGTGATGAAGGCTGTTATCAGTGACAATCTCTCTGCTTACTAAACACTGGTACGCCTCACCTTGATTATGCAGTCCAGTTTTGGTCACCAAACCTTAGATGTTCTTCAATTACAAAGAAATCAGTGAAGGGCAACAAAATAAGAATATTGGAGAACCCCAGATATGAGGAATGACCACATAGAATACACTTATTCACTCTGGAGAAGAGGCACATAAGAGGGGATACGATCACAATGTAAACATATATCAAAGTTGACTATAGTAACTGTAATAAACTGTTTAGGGTCCCTGAAGATGACACACGGCCACAATTGGAAGATGAAAGAAAGGAGTTTTAAACCCCAAACCATGTAATATTTTGCTGCTTACTATTAATTAATTGTGGTGGCTGCACTAGTTTTGTTTTTTTTTAATGCTTATTCACCTTTATTTTTACCTGGTGATCCGGCCAGTAACACACTTAACACACACACTGTCCAAGGGTTGCTCGGCTCTATGGAGGAGCAAAGGAGCTACCCTTGAACAGCAGCAGTGTCACTCTGTGGAGGGGATAGTGTAAGATGAAATAACAGATTTAGATGGACTTGGCCAGGGCTGCTGACAGGGGGTACAGGAAGCCTCCTGCACTGGGCCAGGCCCCATCAAGTCAGGCAGGGGGGGAGGGGGCTGTACCTAGTATGGGCTACCTGTAGAGAAGGAGGATGGTCCCGCCCACTTGCCATGGTAACCAGCTGATTGGCAGGCTCCCCTCCTTCCCTACAGGGGCGAGCGGGTGGTACTGTTTGCTGGACAGACCTATCAGGGTCCTTTCTGCTGCCTGGGTTGTGCTGATCAGCTACTGAAAGGACCAGTGACTCTCAGCACATTTGGCTCCACACCCTCCACAGCCCATGGTATCAGGAGAAGGAGTCCTAGCATGAGGTAAGCTGCAGGGGGTGAGCAGCTTATCAGAGGTGGGCAGTGTAATATGAGGGATGTAGAGGGTGTGGAAGTTAACAGTGTTGGAAGAGAGTGGCAGACATAAACCCTCTTAAAATACTGTTAACTTCTGTATTATCTACATCCCTCTTATTACAGTGTTCACCTCTGCACCTCTTCCAAGCAGTGTATGAAGGGGGTGCAGATGTGAGAAGCCTTAGAAAAGGGTTGCAAGGGGTGCAGAGGTAGGTAGTGTAGGAAGAGGGATGCTGGGGGTGCTGAGGTGAGCGGTGTAGGAAGAGGGATGCTGGAGGTGCAGAGGTGAACGGTGTAGGAAGAGGGATGCCAAGTGCAGAGGTGAGAAGTCTAGGAAGAGGGATGCTGGGGTGCAGAGGTGAACAGTGTAGGAAGGGGAGTGCAGAGGTGAGAAGTCTAGGAAGAGGGATGCAGGGAGTGCAGAGGTGAACAGTGTAGGAAGAGGAATGCATGGGGTGCAAGAATGTATATGCAGGTGGGGCTTGTATATGGGTTGAGCACAAGGGGGCCCCATAATCTTGTATTGCCCAGGGGCCCCATCTATTGTCAGTCCACCCCTGCTCCAAATCTCTGCTCCAAAATATCTGCAACAAATCTCTGCTCCAAAATACACTTTATTGCCAAAGATATTGGGACACCCCTCCAAATCAATGGATTTAGGTGTTCCAATCACCTCCATGGACACAGGTATATAAAATCAAGCACCTCGGCATGCAGACGCTTCTAGAAACATTTGTGAAATAATGGGTTGCTCTCGAGAGCTCAGTGAATTCAAGTGTGGTACCGTGATAGGTTGCCACCTGTGCAATAAGTCCATCCGTGACATTTCCTTGCTACTAAATATTCCATGGTCAACTGTTAGTGGTATCATAAGAGAGTGGAAGCAACTGGGAACAACAGCAACTCAGCCACGAAGTGGTAGGCCATGTAAAATGACAGAGCGGGGTCAGCACATGTTGAAGTGCACAGTGCACAGAAGTGGCCAACTTTCTGCAGAGTCAATAGCTACAGACCTCCAAACTTCATCTGGCCTTCAGATTGGCACAACAGTGCGTAGAGAGCTTCATGGAATGGGTTTCCATGGTCCAGCAGCTGCATCCAAGCCTTACATCACCAAGTGCAATGCAAAGCGTCAGATGCAGTGGTGTAAAGCACGCCACCACTGGACTCTAGAGAAGCGGAGACGTGTTCTCTGGAATGACGAATCACGCTTCTCTGTCTGACAATCCGATGGACATGTCTGGGTTTAGCGGTTTCCAGGAGAACTTGAGTGGCCTGCACAGAGTCCTGACCTCAACCTGATAGAACACTTTTGGGAGGAATTAGAGCAGAGACTGCAAGCCAGGCCTTCTCGTCCAACATCAGTACCTGACCTCACAAATACGCTTCTGGAAGAATGGTCAAACATTCCCATAGACACACTCCTAAACCTTGTGGACGCCTTCCCAGAAGAGTTGAAGCTGTTATAGCCGCAAAGGGCGGGCCAACTCAATATTGAACCCTACGGACTAAGACTGGGATGCCATTAAAGTTCATGTGTGTGTAAAGGCAGGCGTCCCAATACTTTTGGCAATATAGTGTATCTGCTCCAAAAGCTCTACTACAAATCTCTGCTCTATAATCTCATGAGCCTGGTCAGTGTGGTAGTACATAGTGGGGCATAGTGGGGCATGAGTCTCATAGTACATATGATCATATGTGTGGGAAGCATGAGCCTGGTGAGTGTGTGGTAACATACCATGATGTTTGTGTGGGGGGCGGGGGGCATGCGCAAGGTGAGTATGGTAGTTCATACCATGATATATGTGGGGGGCATGAGGTTGGGGAGGGTCATAGTAGATAGGATCATATGTCTAAAGAGAATGATCCTGGTGAGTGTCATAGCATTGTTGTATACAATCATACATGTGGGCAGCATATGATTACATTTCTGAGGACCATGGAGAGTGATATACAGCCACATCTCTATACAGTGTATA